CTTGTGGTTGTTGGAGCCTGGGGGCTCCCTTCCACTTAACCTTTACCACACACCAGATGCCACAGGGATCCTGGGCTCTCCCAGGTGAGTTCTTCCTCCATAGCCAGGACAGACCAGCTCTGAACAGGTGCCCTGCTGCCACCATCCCCACTGCTGGAGCTCTAACAGTCAGGTCTAGGTTAAGGATCCACAAGTACTCTTGCTTAGCTGAGGGTGCACACTCGGGGGTGTCCTGAAGCCCACATTTCTGTCAGTTACTCAGGAGCTTTTGGGGGCCATAGCAGCTGCAGGCTGGTGGTCTCCATGGAGCTGGGATGGGGCTCAGGGGGAATGTGGTACCCTGCAGATTTCCAAGAGTCCTACCTTCCCCCTGGAGTTTTATCTGCCTCAGTGACCATTCCCCTTTGCAATAATATCATCTAGAGCAGAGCCCAAACCCAACACTTACAACTGGGATCTGACATTGCTCTGTCACTCTCCAGTGTCGGACTTGGGCAAGGCCCCTAATGCTCTTGAGCTTCAGCCTCCTCACTTGTAGAATGGAAATAAGTACCTGGTTTATGGCCAAGTGTTCTTCAGGGGGCACAGTGTTGGCACTGTGCAAAGCCGGTGTCCTCAAAGCTCCCGGAAGCCCGGGGGGCGGGGGGCGGGCAGGCAGGCAGGATATCAGCCACACAGTGTGACGCTTGCTCTACCAGGCAGATAGATTTCAGGTGCAGTGTTAAGCAAGGTGGAGGCAAACTGATGCTGTTCATCAGCAAGAGACTGCAAGGTTCCCGCCCACGTTCTGGAGTGTGGGGCACAGGCCAACCCTCTTGGGGTGTTGGGCTCTGTCTTGTGTTCATAGCAGACACTGTGCTGTTTTACTGAAGCTTCATTCAGTCCTCTAGACAAGACTGTGCGAGATCAGTGTCCCCATCCCCATTTTACAGACAAGCATACTGAGGCATGATAGGCCTCATGCCTTGGCCCGGTGTGTTTATGGAACATCTGCTGCATGCTGAGTGGTACAGATCTCCTTGCAACCCAAAACAGACCCCAGCCTCTTCCTCATGGTGCCTCCACTCCACAGCTGAACACCCTTGCCCAGGGTGAAGTTGGAAAGCAGAAAAGCAGGCCTGTAGCCTAGGCTTCTCCCCTCTCATCCCAGAACTCACTGGGGACACTCTTCTCGTAGGGTCATAGGATGTCCCTGCAGACCCCTGTGGGGAATTTGAGGATTTGGGAGCCACAGCCAAGGCTGGGCCAGCCAGAGGAGAGGGGCTGCTCTTTCTCTGGAACTCTAATTCAGCATTCCCAGGCAGCTGTGCCCGGAACTCTAATTGAGCATTCCCAGCCAGCTGTGCCCCATTCCCAAGTTGAATGCTGGACCAAGGATGCCCAACTGCCTCTGTGGGGGAGAATGGGAGGAGCTTCCTGGGGAGGGGGAATTTGGAGAGGGGGTGGGGATGGACTCTGGCTGAGGTCAGGGAAGGACAGGCTCTTCCTGGCCAGTTGGGGAATCCCCTGGGATTTCACTGGGTTTGTGGGAGGGGCCTATTGTTTGCCTGCTGCTGAGGCACCACCTAGGACTGACTCAGCCTCTGGGGTCTAAATGGCTACTCTGTTTTGGGGCACAGCTCCCAATATCCCCACCCTCAGCTTACCTTCTCCCCCGCTGCCCCTTGCTCCAGGACCCCCATGCACTGTTAACTGAACAGATCCACTTTTTGTAGCTCAAGGAGACAGAGATTTACTGCCCTTCTCTAGAAGAACTCTCTCAGACTTGTTCTTGTCACCTAAAACATTGTAAGTGTCCAGGGCTTTGGAGTTGCATAACTGAACACAATGTAATACTATGGAGCTCTTAACTTTATCTTACCAGGGGGTTGTGCTATGGTATTGTGCGTTAAGCTGCCATCTACTGTGCTAGCATCCCATATGGGTGCTAATTCAAGTCACTGATGCTTCATTTCAGATACAGCTCCCTGTCGATGTGCCTGGAAAAGCAGCAGAGCATGGCCCACATGCTTGGGTCCCTGCACCCATGTGGGAGACCTGGAGGAAAGTCCTGATTTTGATCTGGCCTAGGTCCCACCCAGCCATTGTAGTTACTGGGGGAGTGTTCCAGCAGGTGGAAGATTTCGCTACCTTTCTCTGTTACTCTGCCTCTCAAAAAAAAAAATCATATGGAAGAAAATGAATAAGTTCAGAAGAGCTGCAACAAGAGATACAGCAGATTCAGTCAAAATAGGTTGTAAAATCTAACGTACAGGCCCGGCATGATAATCTAGTGACTAAATCCTCATCTTGCAACTGCTGCAATCCCATATGGCTGCCAGTTCATGTCCCAGCTGCTCCACTTCCCATCTAGTTTCCTGCTTATGGCCTGGGAAAGCAGTTGAGGATGTCCCAAAGCCTTTGGACCCTGCACCCATGTGGGAAACCTAGAAGAGGCTCCTGGCTCCTGGCTTTGGATCAGTTCAGCTCTGGCCATTGTGGCCACCTGGGAAGTTAACCAGCAGATGAAAGTTCTGTTTCTTCTTCTCTCTGTAAATCTGCCTTTCAATAAAAATAAGTAAATATATTTTTAAAAACCTAATGTACATGATTTTGGTCTTCTAAAAATATGCCTTTGGGCACACAGAAAAATATATGGAAACATGCATATCAAATGTACATTGGAGTTATCTCTAGGTCATAGAAGTATGACTTTTTTCCTGTTTTATGTACTTTACAAATTCAGTGAAAGTGCATGTCTTTTCTGGTTATGGAGGAAAGAGCTTCCCATGGTATATACTGGAGAGAGATGAGACATGGTGTGTGTATGGGGGGGGGGGTTCTTTTGGCCCCAGACTCAGATGGCCCTAGGCCCCTGCCTTGTTCCAGAGTCTCAGAGAGTATAGAAGCTACGGATGGATCAGGACTACTGCAGGAGGCCCCTTGTCCATACCAGCTGGCCACAGGAGACCTCGCCACACTCATTGTCCATCTTTAGCCCTGTCACAGTGTCCTTGGAGCACCGTTCATATCTGGGCATGCCTGGCTGCCTGCCAGCCAGCTCTGTAGGGTCAGGGACCCTGCCCTTCTTGCTCTGACTTCCCTGCAGGAGAAGGGAGGGGCCCACTTTCCATTTCGGCTGAGCTGAGGACTTGCTCAGCAACCCCACCCCCTGGGCATTTATTCTAAGGCTAAAGTTGCTGGCTTCTGGGACCGAGGAGGAACAAGGCTCAGTCACAGAGAGGATGTGGCCCAGCACTGGCAGCAACAGTTGCTGTTGACAGGGGCTGTGTGAGTGCCAGGTTTATGCTTGCCATTTTATGAATGGGCAAAATGAAGGTGGAACTGGTTCACCATGTGATCCCTGGCCCCTTTGCTTCTAGTTCTGCTGCCGCCCCAGCCACCGTTGTACCCCTATTAAGGGCTTGAGTTCCTCCTTTGAACCTGCTCCAAACAGGCGCTCATCCCAGCTGATTCTGCTCTGACTAGGGTCTCGGGACTCCACAGTGCTGAATCAGATGCTAATACCCTGACTTCATGTTACACGACCCGTCACACTGATTATTCCTTCCTCCTCTTCCTTCTCCTGGTGACCACCCTGTGTGTTCACTAGTCCTTCCTTGAGTCCTCCACTGAGCTGGGCAGGGCCCAGGCCTGGGACAGCCTCTCTGTCCACATCTGCCCCCCTGGCATTCCCAGCCTATGTGCGTGGTGGAATGGCGGCATGCTCAGCACTTACCCTTATCCACCTGCTTACATCTGTTTATACCTGGTGCTGTGGCACAGTGGGCTAAGCTGCCATCCATATCAGAGCACTGGCTCAAGTCCTGACTGCTTCATTTCCAGTCCAGCTTCCTGCTGATGTACCTGGAAAAGCAGCAAAAGAGGCACAGTTACTTGGACCTCTACCACTCACATGAAAGACTGCATGGACTTCCTAGCTCCTGGTTTTGGCCTGGCTGTTCCTGAGCACTGCTGCCATTTGGGGAGTGAACCAGCTGAAAGATCTTTTCTTCTCTCTCTCCCTTCCAAATAAATAAAATAATTCACTAAAGATAAATAAAAGGTATGCTATACTTAACATATCCCAAACCAAGTTTCTTATCTTCACACCAAACATGCTCCATCTATTAAAAGAAAAGAAAAAATTGCAGGTACCTACAATTGAGAAAATGGCAATTCTGTCCTCCTAGTTACTCAGGTCAAAATTTACCTAGGGTCCTGCTTGACTGCTTTTGTACCTCCCACATGAATCCCATTGCCTCCAATTTCTAAAACCCATCTATGCCAACTTCTGCCCATATCTTGACACTTCTGTTACCCCCAGCTATCATTGTTTCTTGCCAGGGTTTCTGCAGTAGCCCAAGAGCTGGTGCTATGGTTTTCTGCCGTGCTTGTGCTCGTTCAGACTAATCCTGTACAGTGTGAGTCTCACTATAACTCTTCTGTGTGTGACTAGCAGCACTCCCCACCTCCTGCCCCAGAGTTGCTGGCCATGCTTTGCTGTTTTCTTTCCTCCAAAGCACAAGCCATCTCTGACTCCTGGGTCTGAAATTTACTGAGTCTTTAGACTCAGTGTATTAGTGTGTTTTCTTCTGCTATTACAGTACACTTAAGAATAACTAATTTAGAAAGAAAGGCTTATTATCTAGGTTCAGCTGACTCCCAGGAGGACAAGAGATTTTGTCTGCTCTGTTTTGATGTATCCCCGGAACCCAAGGACAATGCCTGGCCCAGAGAAGATACTCAATAAACAGTTGATAAGATTGGTCGTGTCATTGGAATGAAGGAAGGGCCTTGAGCAGTGGGTTTCTGCCAGCCACAGAGCATTACCAGGCCGAGTGGGAAGGGTGTCGTCCAAGTGGAGAACTGCTCTGGGTGGAGACTGTGATACCTGTCTCTGTCTTGGGTCAGCACACCGCCGACTCACACCGCTCAGCTTCCAGCCAGACTTGCTTTGCTCAAAGATGCTCCGCTCCGTTCTCAGCTCCAGTAGTTTCCTCTCTCATTTTTTCTTCCAGGTGCTAGAGATTGCAACCTACTGGAAGAGACCAACATCTATAAGGTAAGAGAACAATGAGCTCATGTGTAGTTTAAGACTTTTCTAAGCTTTGGCATGCATTCAGTGAAGACCAGGATGCCAGGAATCTTGGCAGCTGAGTAAGAGGAGGGGCCAGGGAACTTGGGTTGACTTTCTGAATGGAATGAATCCTGAGGACAGTAAGAACAGCTTGGTGTCATCAGAGGTAGCTAAGAGGGCTTTAGACGCAGTGTATTAGTCTTTTTCTGTTGCTATTACAGGATGCTTAAGAATGACTAATTTAGGAAGGAAGGCTCATATAAGGTCACGGTTCTAGAAACTGCAGGTACTAGGATCTCATACAGTGTGGTAACATGGTGGAAAGGTGGGAGGGCACGTGAACGTGTGTGTGGAAGAGAAAGCAAAAGATGCTGGGGGGCGTTAGTCCTTCTTAGTGACCCTTCTGCAGGATTCCCATCCCCATCCCATCATTGCCACCGTGGCCGTCAAATGTGAGGAAGAGTTCAGGCGGGGACAAATGGCCTTCAAGCCACAGCTCCCAGCACTGCAGTGCTTGCCCTGGGAAAGCTTGACAACTCTCTAGCCAGGCAGGACTCACTTGTCGCATGGCTTTCCCTGCTCTCTCCAAACCATCCCTTCCTTCCTTATCCTCTCCTGAGGCTCTGCCTGGCCTGTGCAAGTCACAGCAAACACTGCTGGAGTAACTGTAACTTTTACTTTCTGGCAAGGATACTTAATTTCTAGATTAAGAGAAATGTGCTAGGATCCTTGAGGCATAGAATTCTCTAATCCAATGTTAAATCACAAGACACATTTTACAAAATGAATCAGTTCGTTAAGTTTGAGTGGTATAACTCCCATCTTTTGGTTCATTTCCCCCAAATACTAACTGTAGCAGAGGGCTAGGCTAAGAAGCCACGCACCTAGAACTCAATCTGGGTCTCCCACTTACGTGACAGGGGCCCAAATATTTGAGCCACCTGCTGCATCCCAGTGTGTGCATTCACAAGGGAACTGAGGCTCAAATGCCCACCTCTATGCCAAATACCCGCCTCGCTCTCTCCGGATTTTTAAAAAGTGAAAATATCTTGTAAATAATGAATGTGGGGGGATGTGCCAAGGCCAACATGTACTACTGATGTGGTTGGAAAAAAGGTGGCTTTAAAAAATGTGTTGAGACTGAGCAAAAGTGTCTATATTTATATAGGCATTCATATGTAGACAGTTACATTGTTTATAACAGGAAGCAGAAATTATCTGAGAGCCCAAAACAGGTTTTCATTATTCAAAATGTGTGTGCATCCCTGTATAACAGCAGAATGACAGAAATGTGCATTTGTTTCTGAGAAAGGGATTCAGATATGTTGTTTTTGAAAAAGTAAACATAGAAACATCTTCTATAACCTCCAGAGCAAGTAGCTTGGGACTCAGCCTAGAGAATTGGCCTGATGTGTTTCAGCAAGAATACAACTTCCCTGAGCCTTTGCTTCCTGCCTGGGGGGTGTGGACATTACGCCCACTGGACACAGCACCCACCACACACAGCACCTACCATTCATAGCACCCACTGTGCAGGTGATGAGCACAGCTAATGGCTGCAGCACAGCCTGGTATGTGGTGCCCAGATGACATACAAATCAAGAGCATCTTTATTTGTGAATGGGCGTGGGAACGTTCTGTAAACTCATAGGCCAGCAGTGGGTTGTTTTCTGCTTTTCGTTTTGATTTTTCTGACTGGTAGAATCATGGATGCTTTTTAATATTTTCTTTTTTTTTTTTTGCAACAAATACTTATTGTGCTACAATGGTGGTATGAGTTTTTTAAGAAATAGGTAGTAATTGAAACATTTTATGGAAAGGAAACTTAATGGCATTGCTCCAAATGGTCAGTCCTCATCCAAATGGGTCCCTGAGTGGAGCTCTGGAATACTGCAGGGGAGGCCAGAAACAAAGGGAATGGAAGGATAACAGGGGAAGAAGGGGAGGTCAGGCCTGCTGCTGGTGCCCAGGGAGTTGCACTCAGCCCTAACACTCAAAACCCCAGGCTCCTCCTGGGGAAGCCCTGATAGGAGATGAGGTAACTTGAGACCCATTTGTCCCAGCTTCAGGTGGCAATGGCTGTGTTCCACCTCCATTGGCTGCTGACATAACCCAACTGTGGCACATCTGGAGAGGGGTCCTGTCACGGCAACTCTGGGCCTGGCTCCTCACTCCACCATCAATTCTGCATTATGTCTATCCATGTCCACCTTATGCCCACTTGTGCCTGCTTGTTGAGGGTTCCTGGGCAAGCTCTTCTGCATAAATAAATTTTCAAAAAAAGTTTATGACTAGTGTCATTACATTGCAATTTGTATTATACCCACCTGTAATTAATTTATATTTTACTAAATGAATGATCACAATAATGTTTGCATGTGGTTTGAATGTCAGTAGTACTGAGAGGGTCATAAAAATTTCCCAGCATTTCCCACCTTCCTTACAACAGGAGCCTCTTTCAGCCCTGTGTCCCCACAGTGTTTCTCTTGCTGCTGTTCTATTGACATCTTGCAGTGGATGAGGCCCGAGTCTCCCTACAGACCCACTGCCTTCCCCCATGCGCCCTTCCTGTAGTCATAGGGCACGGTTTGTGGTTCACTCACAGCAGACGTGGACATACTCCTGACTGCTGTGCTAAGCAGTCCCTTAAGTTCTGGAATGTTGTCTTTAATAACTTTCTCCTGTCTGTTTCACTCATTGGATGATTTGGATCTGTCTAATTTCCTATTTTCCATTTATTGACCTTTTGGTCATCTTTCTTGGGATCTTCATTGATCTCATGTTACAGTTTTTGTTGATTTAGATTTTTTTTTTTTTTGCTTTTCTAGTTTTAATATTAGAATTGTTGTTCTCCAATTCATTTTACATTATGTCCTGTTCTTATTTTATACATATGTTTTCTCCCTCTACTCTCTGCTAGGGTTTCTGTTCTTTGTCTTATCTTAATATCCTTCTCAATTTATATTCTTTCCTGGCTTTCTTTTGTTTGCTTTCATTCTTTCCTGTTGGAGGCTTTCCTCAATTGCTAGAATGCCTTGACTGCCTGTTTGTATTTATGAATGGAGCAGTATGAAGCTAGCTACACTTTGTGTGCTTGGGGAGAATTTACCAACTGGGAATTCTCTATTGGGAGGGAGCCAGACTTTTTTTCATCAACAGTCCTTGAGACATCGGCATCTCTTCCCTGGAGCCAGCTCTTTCAGTCTTGGCACTATTGACTGATTTGGGCCAAATCATTGTTTGTTCAGTGTAGAGTGGTCAGCAGTGCACCTGACCCCTACCCTCCAAATGCCAGTGGCAGCTTCCCTCCAAGACTTGTGATAAATGAAAACAGCTGGAAGCATCATCAAAAGTCCCTTGGGTGTAGTCTCCTTACTGTGAAGTACTTGTTGGGGCATGGCATGGTGGCTCAATCAGCTATCCTTCTCTTGCAAGCTCCAGGATCCCATATGGACACCAGTTTGTGGCCTGGTGTTCGACTTCCCATCTAGCTAGCTCCCTGCTTATGACCTGGGAAAGCAGTAGAGGATAAGCCCAAAGCCTTGGAACCCTATACCCGTGTGGGAGACCTGGAGTCAGAGAAAGCACACAGGTCCATGTCCGGGCCCTCGGGTGGGCTAACTGGAACAACTAGGGGTGACAGTGCTGGCTGAAGCTGCTTCCAGGATGGTCCTTCACTTGGCAGGGACAGCAGGAGGGCTCAGCCCAGCTGGGACCACTGACTCCACATGGCCTCTTTAGTGCATGGCCTCTTTAGTATATGGCCTGGGATTCCAGTGTGAATATTCTGGCCAGCAAGATGGAACCTGCATGGTCTTTTCTGGCTTGGCCTGGAAAGTCATACTGTGTAGTTTCCGCTGTGGACATACAGCTACCCAGATCTAGGGAAGGCGACATGGACCCAGCCTCGGGGGAGAAATATCACAGAATTCACAGCTATGCTTTAAACTCCCTGATGCCTGCACAGGGTGATGTAAACCCAGAGTGGTGCGGTGGAACTGGGGCAGCATGCAGAGCCCGCCTGCTCTGTCTGCAGACCTAATCTTCACCTGTTGTGTTCACACCTGTATTCATGTGCCCTGCCTCTGGTTTGAGTCTCCCCGATCCATGCTTTGTCTCATCCATGTAGGGTAGGAGCGACAATGAGGTTTGGGAAAGATTACAGCCAATGTTCCCAGGCCCTTCCCCTCCCACCCAGTTCCTGTCTCTTGTCCCCATTATCCATAATACCTGGGCTTCTCAAGTCTGAGCTTCTCCAAGTTTTGGGGGTTTGCTTCCTGTCTGTGTCCCTTCCTTAATGTCCTCCCTGCTTTGGCTGTCCTCTGCTAGCTTCCAGGAGCCTGTGCAGTGTCTCAGGCACTTGTAGTCCCTCACCATCCTCAGCCTTTAAAGGTGTATACCACGTGGTTTCTACTTTTGAAAATGTATTTGTTTGAAAGTCAGAGTTACACAGAGAAGGAAGAGAGAGAAAGAGATTTCCCATCTACGGATTCATTCCCCAGGTGGCCACTACAGCCTGCTGGGCCAGGCCAGAGCCAGAAACCCGAAGCTTCTTCCTGGTCTCCCACATGGATAATAGGCACCCAAGCACTTGGACTAGCCTCTACTGCTTTTCCCAGCCAATAGCAGGAAAATAAATGGGAAGTGGAGCATGTGGGACTTGAACACCGTGGCACTCATGGTAGGGGGTCTGGCATTGCAGGAAGCAGCATTAACTACTGACCACAATCAAGCCCTGAAACATCTCCGTATGGTTGTGACTGCATTTACGCTTTTGTGGATAAATTGGAGTTGTCTTTATGAACATATGCGCATTTCTGTGTAGTGACTTGTCTCTCCTGGTGGAGACCCCATCATTATTATGAACTCTTACTTTGTTTTTGTTTCAGCCTCTGCTTATAGTGGCCTCTCTTTCTGTGTATTTACATGGAGGTACCTCATTCCACCTCTTACACTTGCAATGTAGACTTTTTTTTTTTTAAAGATTTATTTTATTTTTATTAGAAAGCAGAGAGGAGGAAAGACAGAGAGGAAAGTCTTCCGTCTATTAATTCATTCCCCAGGCGGCCACAACAGCTGATACTGAGTCAATCCAAAGCCAGGAGCCAAAGAGCCTCCTTCCAGGTCTCCCACGTGAGTGCAGGGTCCCAAGGGTTTGGGCCATCCTTGACTGCTTTCGCAGGCTACAAGCAGGGAGCTGCATGGGAAGCAGGGCTGTCGGGATTAGAACCAGAACCCATATGGGATCCTGGCGCTTGCAAGGCAAGGACTTTAGTCACTAGGCCATTGCGCCGGGCCCAATGTAGACTTTACAAAAGTGCTATGCCAGGTGCCTGTGCTGGCTATTCTTGGCTGTCCATTCCCCAGGCAGGCCCCTGTCTGTTTTGGTGCCCTTTCCCACCCTGCCAGGGTCAAATCCTTGTGCATTACCCAGCCAGGCTACAGGGCCTCACATGTCTTTCGGGCTAGAGCTAAACCTGAGGGTGGGACAGGATGATACTGGGGAGCTGTGTACCTGTCAACTCCCTTTCTTGCCAGGCGTGAGGTCACCAATGTCCATGTCTTTCAATCCCAGGCAATAGCTACTGCCACCTATCCTGAAAGACTCTCTTCCTCCCTGGTGGGGGATGGGCAGGGACAGAATGGTCACAGCCCCCACCACTGCTGGCTCCAGGGCGTTTCCCTTACTCCTGCCCTCCCACTGTGAGCAGTCTCCTGCTTAAACTCTGCTGCCACAGGGATACCATCACCTGTGAGGACTCAAACCACCTCAGGTACTTATCTGATGTGCTCTTTTTTTCATTTAAGATGTATGTATTCCACTGGAAAGGCAGATTTACAGAAAGAGAAACAAAGAGAAAGATCTTTCATCCACTGGTTCACTCTTCAAGTGCCCATAACAGCTGGAGCTGAGCTGATCCGAAGCCAGAAGCCAGGAACTTCTTCTGGATCTCCCACACAAGTATAGGGTCCCAAGGCTTTAGGCCATCCTCCACTCCTTTCCTAGGCCACAAGCAGAGAGCTGGATAGGAAATGAAGCAGCTGGGATATGAACTGGTGCCTATATGGGGTCCTGGCACTTGCAAGGGTAGGATTTAGCCACTGAGCCATCGTGCCAGGCACTCTGATGTGCTTCTAAGGCAGGAGTAGATAGAATGAGGCCTCCAGCCCCTGTCCTAGAAGTCCTGTGTGTGAGCTGTGGGACACCTGAAGGCTACCCCGGATCCTATATACACACACTTGTTATCAGTGATAGAGAAATAGAGGGCCTTGGCTGAGTGGTTTGCATGTTTTTAGAAGGAAAAATAAACATGTAAGTAAAAGGAGGCCTAGGAAAGTGAACTTGGGTGCCTCTTGGAGGTTGTGTGATGACAGGAAGCTACCAGCAGCTCCAGAGTAGGCCTAAGCGTCTTCCTGGACAACAGGAAGTCTTGCCTGTGTGCATCCAGGTCAGTTTTCTTTAGCTAATGCCTTCACTCTGAGGAGTGGCATGTGCCTGTCTACAGGAGACCCAGGCCTGCCCATGGCCATACCTTATTGCTGCAGGTGCACCCTGAAACCCAGCTCTCCTGTGCTCGATACCCCTGCACGCAGCCTGTGCGGCTCCCTGCCTTCTCTTGTCACCTTGTCCTCCTGGACCCAGCATCCCTTACTTTTTTTTTTTTAAGCATGCAACTGTCTCCAAAGCACACCTATCTCTAGGGGGAAAAATGAAATGAAATCAAGAACTCCTGCTAGCCACCCACTTCCTGAAGCATGAAAAGGAAGTATTTCATCAATGCTTCTTACAGAAGACAACAGGAAGGGGTAGTGTCACTCTGGCTGGCATGGGTTGGCACTGCGGTATTTCACAGATGGGGAGGTGGGGTAGTCCTGGGGGCCTCCTGCAGGCTCAGCTCTGAGGAGCAGAAAGCGGGAGGCTGCAGCGGGGAGATACTCTCCTTCTGCTCTACACATGCTTCTGTAACTTCGAGGAATTTCTTTTGTCAGGCATGACTGCTCTTGAGTGACATAGCGTTATCAACTGGACTTGTCCTGTCACAGCCCACGCCACTCTGTGTTCTTGGGCCCAGAGAACCCAGCCGAGGCCCCAGCGTGCTTTGCCTGTAGACATGCAGGAGGCCTTGGGCTCCTTCCCGTTGTGCACTCTGGCTCAGATGCCACGCTGTGAGGCAGACATGCAGGGACACAGCCAGTAGATGCAGCCAGCTCACTGTCCCTGGTGGGGCCTTGGAGAGCCTCCGCATAGCTTTTACATGGTGGCAGGCCTGAGGGCCATGTTTCCAGAAGGGCTGATAGCGAGTGGTGGTAGCGAGTAGTGGTAATGGTGGTGTAACATGTACATGTGAGCCCATCTTGCGTCTTATCCTGGCCGGGCTGCCTGCGGATTAGCCAGAGTATGCTGGAGGATATGCCATTACTAGGGAATCTGCCATTCACCACATGGGATGGAGCAGAAAGAAAAGCCTCAGCCCACACACTTAGGGCTGAGCCCAATGTGGCTCTCAGGGGCTTGTGGTAAGTTCCTGATCTGCACACGCAGGCCAGGGCCTTTGGGTGTCGTCTGGAGCCTAGAGCCGGCTGTCACGCACTAATGTATGCAACCCTAAGTCAGATCCTCTCCTTGCCCTCCACTCCTCAGAGCCTCCACAGTGCCTTCTTCCAGGAAGTCCAACTGCCACCTGTCTGTCAGAAAGACCCGTAGCCGCTGCGCTGAGTGATTGGCTACCCCAGGATGGGGCGGGACTCTCCTTGTTCCCATTAGAAATCAAGGGAAACAGATGCAGCCAGCTTCCAGAAGACACT